ATTTAGCCGCGACTCATCCTCACCAACATGTGGACGGCTACAGATTGGCTCGATCAAGACGGCTGACAGTTGTGGTGGTGAGTTGAACTACCTCGGGTAGTAATACCAACAGTCCTGTGCCCTCCGGATTCTTTGATGGAATGGTGTGCAAATTGAGCCGCACGAGTGCCCACTTGAACGCCAGGAGGCAGGAAGGTGGGTGACACTGGCATGCCTTCATAATCTCATTGTCTCTGGGTTGCTGATGTGAAGAGTGTAGTGCTTCTGATCACCTTAAGTGAATGAGAGAAGAAGGAATCGGTGCTAATGAGTGCACATTTAAGTGAATAATACACCATCAAATGGCATACGGTTCTGTCTGCTTTACATCACAAATTCGTCCTACCTTAGTCCAATGATACAAGCGGATTCCTTCGCTTCCCCGTAGAGCCTTCAAGACATTCCATTTGAGTTGGATTTTCACACAGCAATGATCAGCTAAAAACTACAAGGTTTGCATTTTGTGACATCGAAGACGGTTTTGGCATTGAAACACTCTGCTGCTTGTTGTGAGGAGAAGTTGGCACACTTACTTGTGTCGCAGGCTTCGCTCATTTCATCTTCAAAATAAAAGTTTCAATGTGAAATTCAACTGTTTCATCCAGACAACTTGTCAATGTTGTCAAATAGGATTAAATGATTTCAGTAGAGAGTAAAATGCATTATTAAGATAATTCGCCTTCAATTATGTTATAACTCAGTTTTGAGACCTTTGACAGGGCGGAAGGATGGGCGTTACTCCATTCTGAAGCTCAGCATTCAGTGCCACATGGAGGTCGTGTTAGTGTCTTCTGTCCCCTCACAGAATCCCCAATTTCCACAAGTTGCCTAATTGCGCAAGCCCTTGAGGGGTGAAAAAAAATAGTGGAGAAGAATACCCCTTCCTTGTTTATTCCAGCGGATTGAAGGGTTTGAAAGTGCACAAAATGGAATGTTTTAGGAAAACAGGTAATAAAAAAGAGGAACACGAAGGACTTGTGCTTAAGCTGACGTCATCATCCACCAGTTGGCCAACGTCAATTGTGTTGTCAACACTAAAAATTGTATATTTTGTGATGATAGTAACGCCTTGATGAAGTGCATTGATGGAAAAATCAGGCCAGTACATCTGTTGGGTTACTTTTCTGGTAGCTTGCATTCCATTGAGGCGTTTTAGTGACTTGTGAACAACTGGAAGACGTTTACCGTTGAAAGTGCGGCGTTCGGAGCAGAATCTGAGGTGTTATGGGTGAGGCGTGCCCTTTACGGACGTGTAGAAGCTCTGAGGTGACTGACACAGGCTGGTAAATCACGGTAGCATGTGGAGGCTCTGGCAGGATTATGAATCTGTAGAGCTTCAACACAGTCTGGTCCAGTAGCACCTGATGCACAATAAGAGTGAAGAGACGAGAAAACAAATCCATCTGAATGGCCTTAAACACAGATGATCTAGGAATGTGGACATCTTCAGCTACTTTTAGCCTCCTATTTAGGTGTTGCAGTGACTTGTGAGCAGTTGGAACACCTTCACGGTTAGAAGTTCAGCGTTAAGAGCCGAATGTGGGGTAAGAGATGGGCATTTTAATTCGAACGAGGTGAGTGAGGATTGCATGGAGAAATTTCCGTTCTTCCCCTTTTATATAATGCCAAACCAAGCCACTCAGAGAAAAGCATCTCATGAGGACCCTAGACAAATGCATGTGGAACCGAAGACAGCTACTACAAACAGTACCTCTTCAGGTGGGCTAATCAAGCCAATTTTAATTTCACATCCCACTGAGGTGTTCCAGTGACTCACAAAGAGTTAGAATACAGTTTAAGCCTTTCGTGAAGTGTGGAAGCACTGTGATGCCTAAGACAGACTTGGGGCTTTCAACACAGTCTGGCAAAGACTTTGATTTACCATCACCTCTTCAATTGGACTACTCACTTTACCGTTCACCAAAATAAAAACCAAGAAACCCAATTCACCGACTTACTCCGTGCGGCGGAGACATGTTTGATAATGAAAATCATCATCCTCACTAACTTTAAACAATTTTAACCTCTCACTTTAGCCAATTAACATAAAATTTGCTAAACATTTGGTCAATACAAGCTCCAATTACTCTCTCACATTTGATTGGCTGTTTTAATGCAAAAATCAATACCAATCGCCGAAATTACAAAGATCACTGAACTTCACTCAGCGTGATTACTAATGGCATTTTAATAGCCCTTATCACAGCCTACTTAACCACGCCCAGCCAATCGTAGCACCAGGTGATTTTACTTGAATGATTCAATCCTTAAAAGATATATGCACTTCCGCGTATTCGTCAGTGTTTCTTCTACCAATCCTCACAATTCGCTACTATATTTTTTTGCATTTTGTAAAAAGTCATGAAACGATCTGCTATGTTGGTATTGATTTTACTCCTCATTTTTGCCATTATGGTGCTAATTCGACGACGACATCAACCAACTATATTTGTAATTACCCCAACTTATTCACGTTCTGATCAATTGCCTGAATTGGTACGTCTTTGCACAGTTTTAAATGTTGCGGGCAACATTCATTGGATAGTGGTTGAAGATGCATTGTCAAGAAATAGGTAAACAAGAAATAAGTACAAGTGATTTCACTTTTAGCTCACGTATTCCTTTTTTCCCTATTTTTTCTTTCCCTTTTTGCCTCATTGTAGAGAATTAACACAATTTCTTAATGATTGTGGCATTTCGTACACACATTTGGCAGCAATCACACCTCCGTACAGTAAACTTGTCAGAGGAACAAGTCAACGAAATGAGGCCTTGCAGTGGTTGAGGAAGAAATTTTCTTCAGCTAAACAACCTGGCATTGTGTATTTTGCTGATGATGACAACACCTACCATCCGGAGTTGTTTGAAGAAGTAGGTAATATTTACTTTGTAGATAATAAAGTAATTTAGAAATTTTGACTTTACTCTTTGCTACTTATTATAAAAATTGACTTTGAATCGATTGGTTGTTGAAAAATTACTGTCCCTCTCCTATAGTTAATAAGGCAGCAAAACTGTATAACATGGCTTGTTCCGGGAAGTTTTGTGGGCCAGTTGTTATCGGATAAAAGGAAAATTGGGTGGAAATGAGGCAAGCCTTCAACTTGAATTCAAGGGCTCTTTGCACACTCCTTCATCAAGGAGGCTCGTGATGCATGATGAAAAGCGGAATGTAGGTGGTACGTATATGATTATTTTAGATGCGAACTCTTAAGAGAGGCGCAACATGGCCAGTGGGGCTGGTGGCTGGATCGGATTGGGAGGGATGCATCACTGATGCCAAGGATCGCAGCAAGATTTCCCACTTCTGGACCAATTGGGAACCCAAACGCGAGTTTCCCATCGATATGGCGGGTTTTGCTGTCAATTTGCAGTTAATTTTGGACAATCCGAAGGCCGTCTTTGATGATACTACGGTGGGAAAACAGGAGGGTCTTATACTGACGAAGTTGGGTTTTAAAAACGGTTATGAGTTGGAGCCCAAAGCGGACGGATGTAGGAAGGTAAGACTGTTTCAACAATTACAAATTTATAATAACACGCATAACTTGTCTTTATAGATTCTAGTTTGGCATACAAAAGCACTTAAACAAAATGTGGAAGTCACTGGACCAGCTACTATTTTAAATAAGTTGTAACACTTTTATCCATAAAATATTTACTGCCTATGATTATTGCTGCGTACTTTTCACAAAAAAATTACTTTTTTACGAAACATTTTGTTTAGTGTGATACAAAATTTGCCAGTAAAAATGAACAACATTGCATTTTATGATATTTACCTTTTTGATGTTGCCGTGTTTGTGGATTAAATTGCGGTTTTAATGTCTAGAAAAATCCTTTTTTTCTGAAAAAAATTTACAAACAGCATAAAGATGTTGAAATGAATGCAGTACACGGTCTTAGTTGCTGCAAAAGACTGAAGCCTCTCATTTGGTGGCGGAGGACGGCTAATAAGACCGAATGGAAGCATTAAGGAGGATGAGAAAGAGGTTGAACTTTGGCTTAACTCGAAGGTCAAATTGCTCGAGCACAAGTAAGGTGGTTGCCAGTCATGTAGACGATCAGTTAAACAAAGCATTTCATTGCCTCTCCCTTCCTCTGAATGATGTGACGCTACACCTCCAGCATTGACCATTGCGACGTATCCGATGCTACAAAGAAGCACGCAACGAGTTATTCCTTAGTTGCTCCTCCTCCTTCTCCTCCTCCTCCTCTCCACTTTTCGGTTCTGCCCTTATTCCTCCTCTTCCTGCTCCTCCTTTTTTGTAATGGGTGTGTGCATGAGTAGACGAGAGGACGTTCTTGGCACATTTTCACATCAACGACCTCATTCTGTTCCACATTGTGTAGGAGAACTCGCCACTGCTTTGGTCTCTATTATTTGCTGATTTCTTTTATAATTCCTCCTACACTTTGTGATGCAGCAAAGTTGAAGATACTGCAGCAGTAACCCAACGAGTGCAATCATAGTTGTTATCCCAAATAAGACGATGCAGCTCGTCCACAGGTTTAGGTTCTTTGTTCCTCGCAATGAAGCATTTTGGCTATCGAAAATTTAGCAATCGACCTTCAATAAAGGCGTCCGAAGTGTTGTCTAATTTCGTCTCTTTTTTTCCTTCATTGCACGTGTGTTCAGCCGCACGTAATGCCTTTGCCTACCAAATGGGCAGTCTTGGGACACTACACCTCCAAGATTCTTTTCCTATTTTCACCCACTAAGAAGACATCTTCCTGCTCATTAACTCTCGCTCTATCATCAACTACTTAATAGAACAGGTCATGCGTAGGAGGGTCAAATGTGTCACCATTCTGCCTTTCGCTTATATCCCCCATGAGGACACAAGGCAATCGTCCAACTTTTAATGGGTAATGGTTTCGGCAATGATCAAAGGTTACAGTATTAGTTGAGGTCTGTCCAACCATTTACGCAGCCACAAAGCCTCGGAATGATATACAATGATGCAAGAAGGGGTCTTCACCTTCACCCACTTACCATGCTTCGGAGTGTTAGCAAAAATTACTACCGCCTTACTTGGACCATTTGAGCGTAAATCTCAACCTATGGCGGATTTCTTGCCTCATTTTAAATTTACTTCTTGAAAGCAAGAGTTTATGAGTCTAATAAGTTTAATAAAATCACAATGGAAAATAACATTTCCATCCCGTGTAACATACTACTCATTACGTTCTCGCGTTATAAGTAGCAATGAACACATCGAAAGCAAATTGAGTAGAAAGGGAGAGTAGAGAGGTTAGAGACTCTCTCTTCCTCTCTACGTTTGCAGACCAACCCATTACCCTCGTGAGAGCATGAAACTGGTGGACAAGTGGTGTTGGTTGTCAAAATATTGCTGCAGTTGTAGTTGCCTGCGTTGGCTCAGAGTGGTGGGACACTTTGTGATTGCTATGCTTATTCATTTGGGCTTACTTATGCTAATCTATACTCCCACCTGACTGCTAGTGTTGCCGATTCGTAGGTTGTGTCTAGCTCCTTCTCAGATTTCAGAGCAGACGTGTGAGATCAAAGGACATGTTGGAATAAGTTTAAGCTAAGACTGCTACTTGCCCTTTTGATTGCATTTTAGACTTTACAACAGAACTTTCCACATCTTTTCATGCGGGTTGCACTTGAGCTTATAAAGTGTAAAAGCCAAATTCATCAACCCGCAGACTCTTGTAAACCCTTAAGAACCTTTAACAAGGCGAAGTATTTGGCAATGATGCAGTTGATCGCTTATTGCCTCTTATTACTTCCAAATTCCACTTATGCCTGCATGAAGTGACTCGACAATTAACCACCTCTTGAGTCTAATAATCACACACATCGACTGCGATAAAGCCAACTTCAACGTTAGTCCATGTTCCACAGTCGTTCCACCTATGTTT